GTGTGTCGACTGGAAACACTGTTACATGTAGAAAGAGAAAAAAATGTAGAAAAGAGAGAGATAGAGAGAGAGCGATAAGAGTAAGAGATAGAGATCAGAAGATATGAGAGAGGAGGGGGGGGGGGGGGGAGGTGGGGGGGGTGTGGGTAGGGTAGGGGGTAGGTGTGTGGGTGTGGGGGGGGGTGTGGGGGGGGTGTGTGTGGGGTGGGGAAGGCGGACACACAGACAGATACTAGATATAGCGTAGATATAGAGAGAGAGAGAGATATAGAGGAGAGACAGATTAGGAAGAGAGAGATAGAGAGAATAGAAGGATATATGAGATATTATATAAATAGATATATATAGTAGTATCTATATATAGATAGGAGATAATATATATAGAAGATATTATAAATTGTAGTATATAGGTATATGATATATAGAGTAGATATAGATGTATATAGATAAGTCTAAATATGGGATATATATAAGATATATAATATAGAGATAGAGATATATAAATATATAATAGGAGAATAAATAGGTAGTATACAATATGTATATTAGATATATAGGAGAGAGATGTATAGATATAGTAGAGATAGATATAGAGTAGATAGTATAATATATAGATAGGGAGTAGAGATAGAGAAATAAGTGTATGAAAATATGTATATATATATATATATATATAGATATATATTATATATATATACATATATATAATATGTAATATAATATATATATAGCATATATATATTAATATATCTATATATATTATATATGTATATAGTATATATATATATTATATATAGGAAGATATCTAAGAGAGATATAGATAGGGATGTATATACATAGATATGTATATATGAGATACATAATATGTATCTATATATATGTATATCGATGTAGCTGATATCTGATATATATATATATATATATAGAAGATATCGATATGAGATATTATAGGTAGGTAATAAGTGTCGATAATATAGATATATATATAGAGATGATATATTATATATATAGAGATATATAGAGTAGATGATATATAGTGATATATAGAGATATAATATATACTAGTATTATCTTATATATATATAGAAATATATAGATGTATATATATATATAGAGACCTATATATAGATAATATATATATTATATATATATATACAGACAGATAGAAATAAACAAATAAAGAATATTATGTATGTTCGCAATATATAGATATATATATAGATATATATATAGATATATATGATATATAGAACATATATGTAATCTCAATGTGATATATTATAGAGATATAGTTATATAATATATAGATCTATAATAGTAGACACATATAAAAGAAACAAATAAATGAATATATATAGAGATATAATAGATAGAAGAGAGATATAGATATTAGATATTATTAGAGATACTAGAGGCAATGATAGATATGTAGATGCAATATAATATAGATAGAGATATATAGTAGAGAGATAGATAGGAGATAGATAGATAGGAGGAGGAGAGAGAGAGATAGAGAGAGAGAAGTAGCGAGGGGTGGGGGGGTGTGTGGGGGTGTGGTGTATAAAGACAAGACAGGGAGGAGGAGCGCGAGGGGGGAGACAGAGACCAAGCGCGCCGAGCGAGGAGACAGAGAGAGATCGGAACATGGAGGAGAAAAGAGGAGAGAGGGAGACAGAAGAGAGAGAGAGAGAGAGAGGAGAGAGATAGAAGAGAGGAGAGAAGAGGGAGGAGAGATAGAGAGAGAGAGAGAGAGTAGAGAGAGAGAGGAGAGGAGAGAGAGGAAGAGATATAGAGGGACGGGGGGGGGCTGGGTAGGGGGGGGGGGGGGGGGGGGAGGGGGGGGGGGGGGGGGGGGGGGGGGGGGGGGGGGGGGGACGGACACACACCAACACACACAGAGAGAGAGAGAGAGAGAGAGAGGAGAGAGAGAGAGAGTAGAGAAGAGAAGAGAGAGAGAAGAGAGAGACAGAGAGAGGAGAGAGGAGAGAAGAGAGAGAGAGAGAGAAGAGAAGTAGAGATAGAGAGAGACAGAGCAGAGCAGGAGAGGAGGAGAGAGAGAGAGATAGAGAGAGACAGAGAGAAGAAGAGAGAGAGAGAGAGAGAGAGAGAGAGCTAGCGAGAGAGAGAGAGGAAGAGAGAGAGAGAGAGAGAGAGATAGAAAGAGAGAGAGAGAGAGAGAGCGAGAACAGAGAGAAGGGAGAGAGATAGACGAGCGATCGAGTAGAGAGAGAGAGAAAGAGAGAGAGAGAGAGATAGAGAGGGAGAGGGAGAGTAGAGATAGAGAGATACAGAGAGACAGGATAGCGAGATGAGAGAGAAGAGAGTAGAGAGAGAGAGGGAGATAGATAGATACAGAGAGAAGGAAGGGGGGGAAGGAAAGAGAGAGCGAGAGAGAGAGAGAGAAAGATATGAAGATAGAGAGAGAGAGATAGAGAGGGAAGAAGACAGATAGAGGATAGAGAGAGAGAGAGATGAGAGAGGAGATGAGAGAGAAGAGAGA